ATATATATATGTATATATAATCGGCGTGCAAACAAGTGTTCACTTTGACCATAACACTATCCTGCTCGAAACACAGAACACTCTAAGCTGGTAGAGGATCAACGTACATCTGTGTGACATGCTTTCCTTCACGTCTAGATGTTAACGGTTTTGCAATGGCAGGACAAAAGTAATAGATCGAGCTGCCGGTCGTGCACCATAGGCAGAGGCGCTGGTGCAGAGAAACTGTCTAGCCCCCAAAATCAGGAACACACACCAGGTGACTTTATGGTAACAGTAAAAATCACGTTACATTACGGCGAGATCAAACGTAGATCTTCAAATTTGTCAAAATCGTTTACGGCTATGATAATTCACAAACACCCGGATTTTTGTTGTTGTTCCGTAATATACTGATTCCAACGGGAAAGGTTCGCGGTTCGAATCTCGACAGGAACAAAAAATAGTATACATTGATGATGCGATCAATAAAAACGAGTTCGGTATTCAGTTATCCCGGCGGAATTTACCCACACACACAGGAACTATTATTTTAGATAATCTGCGAAGAAATCGATTGCATGCGAAACGAAGAGAGGTGATTGGAACTACCTGAATTTTAACCAACGACAAAAATAACCAGGAAAGTCACTGCAAGACATACGCGCGTAAAATTTTCGACAAAATCACATCTTTATTCTTTCAACCCTAATGCATTTTGAGGAAGAGAATCGAACGATCTGGACATTCATGCGTAATGAAATAACGATTAAGAAATACAGATCTAATAATCTAAGACGCACGTTGCGCGCAACTCTTATTACGCGGCACGTAGATTCTTCTGGCAAAAGTCACGTGTTCCGATAGTAGTCAGCCTTGTCCGATCGAAACCATTTACTGCCCCCAAGCCTCAGCGATAACAAAAACAAACAACCACACTGTTCAAATTATTGCGAACCTTATCAACATACTTTTTATGTGGAGATGAAAGCGCCAGCAATGGATAAACGTGCGTTGTGTGTGTGTGTGTGTGTTAACTTAAGGCTTGTTGACTTTACTCCTCCCCTCCCATTTGTGATAAAGGCGGGACGAGAAAAGCACATGTGAGAGGACCTAAATTAGATACACCGGTTACAGTTTTTTTAAGCAGGTGCATTACATTTCCTCGTGAATCAATCAACTGGGCCGAAAGGTGCGATCCGAGTCTGCAAGTATTCTACTCTTTCGGCACGATTCCATAACCACCTGGTTGAAAAATCAATCGGTCACACAGAGAACATAAGAAAATGAGGCTACGGAAGTGCCATTAAGGCCTTTGCAATAACAAATGGAGTACGGGAACCATCACAAAGAATGAGCAAGAAATGGATTACTAGCAAGAATGCCGCAGAACAGGAAAAAAATATGAGAGTTTCGATGGTTCAGAGTCTTAGTATCAGAACCTGGTCAGAATGACAGCTCAGCTTCGCCACATTTACATCACGGATGAGAAATGGCGGTTGAAAAATACTATGATAAACGGAAATTATACAGTTCTTTCATTTCTATTTAGGGAACGATCAATTTTCAGGATGGGAGGAGTAACTTATCAAACGACTTCCATGTCATAAAAAGTTATGTGCCGGTGGTGGGATTTGAACGTGACCTGCGCGTAAATAGATTGGTGATCTAAACCGCGTGATAACTGCCGTCTGGGTGACGACCCGCAATGAAAAATTCAATTTCGAACTACTTTGACATTAGGCTATTCAACGAAAAGTAAATTTCACGTAGGACGTATCAACTCTCTCTCATTCTCACACCAGTATATAGTCAGAGAGCAGAAGTGACGAAATTGAATGTGAGATGAGAAGACGGGGTTGCGTGCAACGCAAATGGATGGGTTGTTATGGCGTTCAAGTCAAAAAATTTCATTGGGTGAGAGAACAATGCGTGTCGCACAGATTACAAGAGCATAAACTGCATCCAGACACACGAAAATACAATACAGGAACAAATTGAACTCATCTATTGTGTAGAGTCATGTATTTCACACTCTTTCAACTACTCACTGTTTTAAACGAATTATAGTACGACAATAATCATAACAAAGAAATCGATCCATGATTTGCGCGTGAACGGAATATTGGCGGACTGCCAAAGCCTGACTCGCAAGGCGGCGGATCAGTGTGCGAAAATCGCAGTGGATTGGACAAATGATGCTCAATAAGTCTGGTCATGAGCCCTCCGGGTGCGGATTACAAATTCAGAGCGCCCAGTAACCTCGAGCGACATGCTGACCAGGACGATCAGAACTTCCTAGAGTCTCTTCGTGCATTCCTTTAGGGAGAATTGAAATTAAGATATTCGATTTTATCTAGATAAGCTAGCTAACAGTAACTCATCAATGATTCTATATCAGCAGACATTGGTTTTTCGGATCCTCAATTGAACGCGTGACAACACTGAGTAGGACTTTGTCCGCAGATGCTTCAAAAGATGCACTTCAAGCGAACATTTCGTAGGGCGAAAATGAGCTCTTTTTAAACCTCGGGAAATACCGGAGATTTTTTACGGCAGCAAATATAGACAGAAGGATGTTTAAAAAAATTGACAAGAAAAATTTGTGAATTGTACTTCTGTTACGTTGGAATTTATGGTTATTCGCTTTTTAAAACAGAATTTAGCCCGGAAACATGCGTGAATGATAAAAGACGGTATAATCAATTTTAATCATGCTGTGGTGCGCCTTCCGTATCTGTTACTTGAAGCGATCCTTCAATTACCGTAAAGCACAACTAACCACACAGAGGCACAGTGTATGCGACCTTCAAATTCAAAGAAACGTCACATCAGTGCTAATGGCTTTTCACTCTTATGAGTGCTGCTCAAGCATGGGGAATGTGAAGGTCAACTCATTTACCATTTTATAGGCGAATGGAACACAATTACTGTGTAGGAAAAACAATGAACCATAACTGAATCCTGATAAATAAGCACCAGAGTGGTGGTACACTACGCAGTCTTGCAGACGTACTTTGCATTTTGAAGACGCAAAGTGCTTGCTCCACAATCTGGTAAAAGGACCTTGTGCGAACACCATACATTCAAACAAATAGACGATGTTATCAAATCATTCCAGAACGCAAAGCTTTTCTTCCCTAAACTTTGGTTTTGGACTTGTCTCTTCGGAGCTGTCGCAACCGTTTTCTTGGTAGTCGATAAAATCTACCTTTCATTCATTTCACTTAAACGAGAATCTTTCCCAATTTATTATATGTTGCTTCATAGGTTCTCCATTCTACAAAATGTTTCCCTCACTGCTCGCAAAATCGGTTTCCTACTCCGCCATTCGCCTCCTCTCATTCGCAAAGCTCAGATTGGCTCTACACTCGAACACAGCTTGGGGTGCAGCTTCGTCTACTTCCGTTTCTTCTTAATTGAGATCAACGATTCACCCCTAATAGGGAATTTGCGGCCACTAGCGCACCATAGGGCAGTCGCTTCTTTATCCCTAGTCTACCCATACAATTTGGTTTGTTCTAACGAATTCGCCTCATTTGTTCGCGTCAACTTGTTCTTCCTCGTAGGTGCCCTAAACCAGCTGTAAGTTACACGTTCCAAGTGGCAATATCCAGGTGTTGCACTTTTACCTTTCAGTCATCTCTTTTCCCAAGAATAACACAACTGTGGAACACTCTCCTCCTTTCGGTCACGCCTCCAACCGCTAGTTGTTCGGAATTAAACTTGCGGATCGCTAACATTAGTTCCT